TATCCGGCTACTCAATACCATATTTTCTTCACAAAAAGGTCGCACATACGTAAGAAGAGTATCGAAGCCTTTTTCTCTAATAGTACAAAGTAAAAATTTTGTTGTTGATACAAAATCAATTGCATTTTAAAATATCCAAATACTTCTCTTGCAAAGATTGACAAAGCCAATTTGTGATCCCCATACATAATCTTGTGCATCAAAAACAAGATAAAAATAATCAAATGATCTCATCGCAATTAAAACACCCGTAGCTTCCCAACGTATAGAATTAGAAGATGCTTCATCTGTCATAGGCTCGAGCACGATAATAACATCAATATCCACCCTTTGATTCTTAGTCGTATGTTGGTGTTCAAACTCATTTGGGGTTGAAGTTTCCACATCAGAGTAGATGAATCCTTCGTAGCCGACTGGAACTTGAAAAATGAGAGCATAGTTTTCTTCTTTCCTATGTGAACATCCATTTGAAAAATTAATCTAAAAACACCAACCAATAAATAATAGTAGTAAAATATTTCAAATTAGACTTTACAATACAATGTATTTTTCACATTTTCTATTCCAAGTTCATACTCAAGAGTACTTAAAAGTTATTTCTTACTCTATTGGTGAGAATGGAACATCCCCTACAAAATCAATTTAATAATAAAATCCACTGAAGTTAACTATCTATATATTAAAAAAGTAAAAAGAAAAAAAGCAAAAATAAAATCTTTCACAAAACACAATGCTTTTGCTTGTTCAGTTGTTCACAATTGCAATGTCCTATAAAAGTGAAATCACAATATGATGGCAATAAAAACAAAATCTTTCAGGAACAATCCATTATCCACTCTCTCAAATGAAAAATGTTTGTTCCCTTAAGCGTCAAGTAAAACAAATTTTGATCCCAAACAAACCCTAATTATTTGTATCAGGAAATAAAAGATTTAAAAAAAAAATGGGCAAGACATAAGAGACAAAGAGAAGACCACCAGAAGTTGCTCGGGCGCACGTCGGACGAGCAGGTTGGACGCAAGACTAACGGGGTGAGGAAGGGCTTCTCGCGGCTCAAATTGACGGAATAAAAAAGACCTTCCATTCCTCCGTTCAAGAACGAAGAGTTGCTTTGCTTTGCTGCCCAAGAAGTTGCTCCTGCTCTCGGTTGATTTTCTGGGAAAGAATATGTTCGTTGATTTTGGTGAAGAGATTTAACGTTATTTGTTAATATTTGTACTTGGGCTGATATTGGAGTGAACTTGTTGGGCTGCTTACAATTTCTAACTGGGCTAATTGCATTATATGGGCTAACTAATTTTATTTTATTTTATTTTATTTTGTTTTCTTGAAAGTAACCTGGATTGGAGCCCACCGCAGCCTTTTGGGTGGCTCCGCCCCTAGATGGCAGATCTTGTTTTGATGGATGCCCCTTAAACGCTAATGGAGTTGTTGTTTTACGTTAAATCAAGAGAAGAACTGAAAGGCCAGATTTGTTGGATCCGTGGGGCTTCAGTGGGTGAGATCTTTGTTTTGTTCAGTATATCAAAAATCATCATCCTCCGATGATTTTTTTTTATGTTTATAAAAAAAGAGCAGATTTGTAGAAAAATAAAATTAAGCATATGGATGTCCATGCCCAACTTTACAAGATGTTTTCCGGTGGAAATATGGCCGTTTTCTGGCGAAAAATTGACTCCGAGTAAATTAAGGAGCCTCCTTCTGGTGCCAACCTGTTGATATGCGAAATTTGATCTAACACAAGAATTTCGTGTATTTTTGTATGAAGAATGGAAGAATGAAGGATTAAAAAGGAAAAATCTCTTTCTTTTTCTGTCTGTATTTCGTTTTTCTTATCCGATGAGAGGAGGAACCAAGTCAATAATTGAGCCCCATTTTCCTATTTATAGCATCATATAATGGGTCTTTACAATATTTTATTGCATAAAATAATAATACAAATGTAATGAATTAGATGTGACCGTGTAGGTCCCAGTAATTATGATGTTTGATGATTTCGATTGACATTAGGGGTTGAAACTCCTACGCGTACAAGGTTGGTATCTTATACCAGAAAGCATGGTTCAGGTAATTTATCCATCTCGGAAAATTAGCCTCGTCTCCTGGTCTGAAGTCTGCCAGCGAGACTGGGCCGCTATTATGATGGCACTCTTTCTCAATTCCGAGATTCTCATTCCCACAGGTCTTTCTTCTTGATCGGTCGTGCCTTGCTCTCTTGTTGAGTTAGCTATTTATGGATTTTGATTCTTTAAACCTTTTCTCAATCTTTTGTTGAGCCCTTTCATGAGCATATCACCCGGGGATGTCTTGTCGGTGCTCTGCATCTTTGGAAGATGTCTTCTTTACTGTATACAAGTCGGGCTAGTGACATTAAATTTTTCTCAGCTCGAATGTGGATGATCTGGACGCTTGAGAACTCGGTTGATATTAATAATGAGCTCGAGAACTATATATATAATACATATTTTAACCCTCTTTTATTTTTTCACGTGTCACATTTTTATTATTTTATGGCCAAATTGGGTATCAACCAGTAGTTCAATAAATTAATGGACGTTATATCTTAAATATAGGGAGGTGACTCGATCAATTAGTTTCCAGGAACGAATTATTCGTAATTTAGAGCTAAATGAGGAGTACAATAATATTACTCTAGTGAAATTATTTATTATTCAAATAAGGAATATGTGTGGACTCAAATTGTAGACACAAGGTCTTCTATCCCTATTTGGAAAGCCCATATTTAGCACATCCTTAGGGTCCTTGATGTAGTCTATAAATACACCAAGTCCCACACCTTTTACATCATCTAGTGTCATCCAATATTTTAGTCTCCCAATATAGAGAAAAAAAAATATTGTGGTATATATTTGGAGCTATCAGGTTTCATTTAGTCAGATCACCGAGACCATTTGAAGTAGGTGTAGAGGTAATACATTAGAAGATCGTGAGGTTTATTTTTTTCACCCCGACAAATTTATTCATCACCGCGAGAAGCCCTCGGAGACACGCATCAATTCTTGGTGAGACCCGTCCAGTGCCTAGCAAGCTCTGTCCGCAAGTCCCGCTCTAAAAAACGCACAAACCCGTGTAGACCTGCGCAGACCCGCGACCTCCTCGGTGACATCTGCGCGACCCGCAACGCACGACGCGCGATGACCACTCCTAGTGATCGACGCGTGACGCCTGCTCCCATTGCTCGACGTGCAATGCTCGTTTCCAGTGCATCCCGCATGACACCAATGTCCGACGCACAACGACGCCCAACATACCCGCATACCAGCAGCACCCAATGCACGACCGCACGATGGATTTGCACTCAGATCACGCACGACCCGGCGATCCAGAGGCCCGATTCGGTAATCCCGAAGATAGTCCGCCAGCCTAACGAATTTTGAGGTTAAGACGATTTTCAACAGCAACAATCAGAAACGTCTTAGAGTCGCTAAAAGTTGTAAATTGCATGTCCTAGTCCTATCTATAGATTCCGCTGTGTTAGAATCTATTTCAATAGATTCGGATGTGCATATCGATGATGTTGCTAATAGACCCCAACACTTTAGTCTTTCATATTAGACGGTCTGGCCATACGATCTATCCGACCTATCATGAGGTGGATTGTCTTCCCAGTTCGACTTGAGGACCCCGTTTGACCTGCTGACGTGTTCGATCTTAGGTCTCCGTTTGACCTAGAGACCTCGTTTGACATGATAACATGTCTGACCTGAGGACCTCGTTGACCTGATGACCTATTCGACCTATGGACATGTTCGGCCTGAGGTCCTGTTTGACCTGAGGCCTCTGTTTGACCTGAGAAACCCGTTTGACTTGATGACATGTTCGACTTGAGGACCTCGTCTAACTTAGTAACATGTCTGACCTGAGGTCTCCGTTTGACCTGAGGACCTGTTCGACCTGATGTCTCCCGTTTGAGTTGAGATCTCCGTTTAACCTAAGGACCGCGTTTAACAAGAGGACTTGTCCAACCTAGGGCCACCGTATTGACCTTAGGACCTCGTTTTACTTAAGGACCTGTTTGATTTGAGGTCTTCGTTTCCATTTTACCTGAGGATTTGTTTGACCTGAGGTCTCCGTTTGACTTGATGACTTCGTTTGACCTGGGGTCTCCGTTTTACATGAGGATCTCATTTGACATGAGTACCTGTTCGACTTGAGGTCTCCGTTTGACCTAAGGACCTGAGGTCTTCGTTTGACCTGGAGCACCATCGATCTACCTACTCATTCGATCAAGTTGGCTAATTTTTTTGGTCCGATCGACCCAACATGGTATCCTATATTATCTCAATATCTAACTCAACTTTAATCCAATTCCACTACATTCAATATTATTAATATAATTTAATAATATCAAACAATCATTCTTATATATATCACATCAATTTTAATTCATTATTCATCCACTCATATAAATTAACTAATCATTATTTCACATTATCTTTTTCCCACTTTTAAATCAAATCAACTTAACTATTTTATTTTAAATATTATTTTAATCTAACATATAAATCTCACTCAAAACTAAACATACTAATTTTTTTGAAATTAACTCTTGTTAAAAAAAAATAAAACATTTTTAACGGATATATTTGGAATGTTTCATGATGATCTAACGGTTACATGATGATCATTTTTAACGAATATATTTGGAATGTTTCATGATAATTTAACCGTTAAATCAACTATCTTCGACTATTACATGATGATCTAACGGTTACAAACTCTTTGAAATTTCCGTAACAGGGTAGCATTTCCCATAACTTCAATATATCTTCTCTAAAGGCTCATTAGGTGTTTCATCGAATCTAAAACTCTATAAATCAAACCATAAATGAAGAATTGATGCTGGTCCTTTTGCTGTGAAGCCTTGAACCAAAAATAAAAAATAAAAAATAAAAAATATTAATAATAAATAAAAATTGGTGTGAAAATAAATAGGTGGGAATATATATAAAAGAAATAGAAAAGTGAGTTTCCCTTAATTACCCCTGTTGAGTCTGAGAAGGTATTCCAGTGTAAGAAACCCTACCAAAACCCAAATGCCCAACCTCATCATACACCTCTATCCAAACATCATCCGCACTAAAATAGTCATTTAACCCATCGCCAGTCAACACGTCATCCGACGTCGTTTCGCCCCCCGCCCTCCCGTTTCCCGAAATTACATCCCTGCCCCCCTCGCCGCGTTTCTGCTCCTCCTCCAGCCTCCGCCGGCGGCTCCTCTTCCGGCGGCCTCCGATGCATCTGCGCGCCACCGCCCACGGCAGCTTGACGAATGCCAGCGCCAGGATATTCACCACCGCGCACGGGCAGCAGCACACGGCCACGCAGTCGGCGATCACGCCCGCCGTGCACGACTGGCACGATTTCCCGGTGCACGCCACCGCCAGATCTCCGGCATCCTCCTCGACCACGTGGCGCCGCCGGCATTGGTTCCCAGACGACGATGACGTGGATGCCGGAGATGGCCGCTGACGGTCGTCCATCTGATTTGACGATTGATCCTTGTTCTAAAATGCGGTGCAAATGCCTGCGATAAATATGACACACATTTTATTTTCTGTCGCAAGTGTGTTTATGTTTGTTTATTTATTTATGTTTTATAGTGACGCAAGTGATGTAATCTTTACAGTGAAAGAGGCAAAGTAGAGATAAAACATAGGTCGCACATTTTCATTTCTGGTCAACATCATTAGTACAACTTAGTTATATGTGTGCGTATGTGGGAGATGTTACGGTCCCGTTACAGAATTATGCCGTCGAGATTTATAACTGTTAGATTAACTATCCCGACATTTACATGATGATTTAACGGTTACAAATCTTAACGGAATAGTTCCGTAACGATACCGTAGCATTTCCCGCCTCCATGTCTATGTTGTATGCATATAATATATGAGGTGGTGAAAAAAGGTAGCCATTGGGTGAAAAGCAATGAAAAAAGGTTATGTCATTCCAAAGAGGTACCAATATTTAAATAGTAAATATTTCTCTAAAAAAAATATTTAATATTTTAAAATATTAATTTAATAATTTATGGTATATTTCAAATGATCATTTATAAAAATTGTGGTTCATTATTTAAGTAAGTAATTAAGTCATATTTTAAGATACTTTGGTTACTCAAACAGTACCGCTACATGCCCCACCAATTTCTACTCCATGACCCTAACTCCCTGACGTGTATTTGATGTGTTTGTCTAGTCATAATTGGTTACTCAAATCATGTGAATTAATTAATATATGGTATAAAGTGTCTAAGGAAGTAATTAAGTTATATTTTAAGATACCTTGATTACTCAAATGATCATGTGAATTAATTAATATATGGTATAAAGTGAATGAAGTTAGTTTTGGTATTGATCGTCTAGGATAATTAATCAACTTTTAGAACCGAAAGGGGAGGAGTTGATCGATCTAGGCTTGCATGAAATAGACTTGTTCGGAAACGTATTGTCTATATGTTGTGTGGTTTGTTTAATTTACCGTCTATATTATCCTCTTGTTACGAAGAGTTATTGAGGACTATCTCTAGACGTTAGGTTGTTCGAACCATTTAGCCGAATGATCTTAGCTTGATATTTGCATTGGTTAGAAAATCATCATCCCCAACTCCCTAGCTTCTCCATCGTCACTTGATTCTTATTTTCGGTTGATTTATATTTTTGCAATATTTTATAGTTCTTAGTTGATAAAATCATTCATCTTGATTAGTGTGTATAAACATTATTTTACTCTTTTTTGTTATCAACACTGAATTTAAATTCCGAACCGCCTTCCTCGAAAGATCGACCCGGGGAACAAATCTTTCGATTCGATACTCAACAGTCGGTCTTTCGAGGAAGGCGGTTCGGAATTTAGATTTAGTGCATCGTCAACTTGACGGTATAATAGAACACATCCAGACCGTTGAGCCACAAGTTGATGAGCACCTTATCAATGTCAGTCAGATTCATGTGGGCGAGACTAAAGAAGAGAAAGATGCGCTCCCAGAGATTGAGGTTGATATCCTGATGGAGGGAACTCCTTGTCCCAAATTCGAGAGTCCCTCACTTGAGCCATCTCTCCGCACCGTCGAGAAGGCTCCATTTAGCTCGACATGCTCCACGGACACTCTTGTATTCTAAGAGGTTGACTATGGAGCTTTGATGAGAAGAGCTCTAGGTCGTTTCGTTATCATTCTTGGTGCTCGTACTCGGTTCCATAAGAATATTGCCACCCGAGTCCACCAGATTCGCGGTCATGCCACACTTCCCGTGCTGCCGCTTCTTGAGAATACAAAGGCGTGGCATGATCGTCACTTCTTTTTGGACCCCAGCTGAGTCTCTCATGGGTTTCGTCAAGCAGAGGCAACCCAAGTTCTATTACATTCTTAATTATTTCCTTTTTGCCTTTTGTTATTTATCTATGAAATAATTGGAGCTTTGGTAGTTTTCTTGGTAGGAACGAGTTTGAGAGCTCGAGCAGGGGAATTCAGATGAACGTGAAATATCGAGGTTCCGAGGCTGAGCCGGGGCCAGTGAATTGCACGTGCATGCTTACTCTACTCGATGCTTTTTCGGTTTGCACACCTTTTCTCTTTTTATCTTTTTGAGTTGCTTCTTTCTCGTGTCCTTTTTTTTGAGTTGTGTGCTAGCTGCTAGTATTGGTATAAAGTGAATGAATTTATTTTTGGTATTGATCGCCTAGGATAATTAATCAACTCTTAGGCTCGCATGAAATAGACTTGTTTGAAAACGTATTGTCTATATGTTGTGTGGTTTGTTTGATTTACCTTCTATGTTATTCTCTTGTTACGAAGAGTTATTGAGGACTATCTATAGACGTTAGGTTGTTCGAACCATGTAACCGAATGATCTTAGCTTGATATTTGCATTGGTTAGAAAATCATCATTCCCGACTCCCTAGCTTCTCCATCGTCACTTGATTCTCATTTTCGGTTGATTTATGTTTTTGCATTATTTTATAGTTCTTAGTTGATAAAACCATCCATCTTGATTAGTGTGTTTAGGCTTTATTTTACTCTTGTTTGTTATCAATACTGAATCTAAATTTCGAACCGCCTTCCTCGAGAGATCGACACGGGGAATGAATCTTTCGATTCAATACTCGGTAAAAAAAAATAATTTGCTACAACATTGTTAACTTAAATAAGTCTAGCATTTTCTTCTCCAAAAATACTCCTGAGACTGTTAAAGTTGCAATTTGGAAAAAATTTCATGGTATTACTAAATCTAAAAAGGCCAAATATCTAGGGTTATCCTTGAGTATTGGCAGAAACAGGAAAGAGACATTCTCCTATGTGAAGGAGTGTGTTGTGGCTAAAGTGACTAGCTAGAAGAACATATCTCTTAGTGAGGCATGTAAGGAGATTATGAGTAAAACTTTCTTGAGTACACTTCCACCTATGTGATGTCTATTTTCAGGATACCTATGAGTGTTTGTGGGGATATCTGTAGAGTTGTGGCAGGGTTCTGGTGGGGGTAAGAATAGGGAAGGGGGGTATATGAACCATTGGGCTAGTTGGGATAAGTTGGCTAGGCCTCAAATAGATAGGGGGTTGGGGTTCAAAGAGATGAAAGTGTTTAATGAGGCCCTTTTGGTTAAGCAATTGTGGAGAGTGTTAACCAGACAAAATATTTTGATGAGTAGGGTGATTAGACAAATACTTTCATAATCAGAATCTTATGCATATTATGGCCAGGAATCATGACTCCTGGATGTGAAAAAGTTGGTTAGAAGCTAGGAAGTCTTTGTCTTTAGGGGCTAGATATCAAGTGGTTAATGGTCTTTCTATTGATATATGTGATTCTCTTTGGATTCCAAAATCATTACATTTTAGACCTACTTGTTGTTTCCCCGTGGATAAGAAAAAACTGTGCATTGTTTCTGATTTGATGGTTGCAGGGGAAAGAAGGTGAGACAAAGAGTTGATTCTTCAATATTTTACCCCACCAGATGCTGCTAATATCGTAAAGATGCATATCAGTCATAAAAAAACTCAATGATAGATTGGTGTGACATTTTGATTAAAGGGGAATATTTTCTGTAAAGTGTTCTTACCACGTGATTCAGAAGTACAAAAGGTGATGTCTTTGGGATATTGAATCTAGCAATAGTAGCAAGTGTAGGCAGAGACTGTGGAAGGTGGTGTGGCAGTTGCAGTGAAATATAAACTTAGAAACTTTGTTTGGAAATGTTGGCATAATTGGTTGGAGACAAGTGCTAGACTGAAACAGAAGGGAACTGGTGTGGATTCTGGTGTGGGAGCAGAAGAGGGCATAGACCATCTATTCTTCACTTGTGACAGAGCTAAGAGAGTGTGGAAAATTGCTGACCCACAGTGGACTAGGTTGCATTAGACTAACATTTGCTTTAAAGCTTGGTGGGAGGACATTTGTAAGATGCAGAAAACCACCCACAACTTAAGTAGCATTGCTCTTTCTATTTATTTACTGTGATAGACGTGGAAGACAAGGAATAGTCAGCTATTTGAGAAGAAGGAGTGCTCAGAGGCCTTACTGGTAGAATTGGGAAGAGGGTATGATTGGAGTTTTAGGCAGCTTGTGACAAGGTTAGAGCTCAAGGCGTGAGGAGTTTGAATTCTAGAAATTTAAAGGGTTGTGATACTGAGGGGGAGTAGGGAGTAGGGGTGAGCTGGAGTGTGTGATGAGCCGCTCAAGTAAAAATATAATTTATATAAATTCTCCTAACTCGAGCCAAACTCAAGTTGACTCGAGAAAAACTCATATTTGAATAGAATTTTTTTTTTTAATATTGAACTTAGGTACTTTACTGAAACTCAAGCTAATAAAATTAGAGCTGATCTAGAGCATTTGCATATTTTTGTCGAGTCGAGCTCACGCAACAACGAAGAAATCAAGCTTAAGATCAATACTCGAATCGGTTCATTTGGAGGCATAATATAGAGCTGTAAACGAGTCGAGTCGAGCTCGAGCTTATGGTACTCGAGCTCGAACTCAATCTCGAGCTTTTAACAACCCGAACAATAAAATGTTGTTGAAAATTTTTTATTTTCGAGCTTTAACGAACCTTATCGAACTGAATCGAGCTTGACTCGTTAACCAACTGGGCTTGAAATGAGCTCGATCTCGGCTCGTTAAAACCTCGAACTCGAGCCGAACTCGAATCGAGCCGAGCCAGACTTGTTTAATTTACCAACACTACGTATATATGAATCATGTGATGTGATGTTAAATGATTCTAGTCAAAACATCGATAAAACCAAAAAAAATGCCATGTTTCCTTTAAATTTTAGTGGGGTTGGGTAAATGCAAAAGAGGACTGTGGGTATTGATGGGACTAGTTTTTTGTAATCTAACGGGCTAAAAAAATGAAAGAGAGTATTTTTGAAGGGTACATGAAAATAGAAATTGAGAGGGGACGTGAGAGAGACAGACAGAGCCCAAATTGGTGCAAGATTTTCATCTATTTCGAATGTCGTATGGCCATCTCAATTCTCATT